AAGCTGTCTGAGGTCATAAAATATAAAAATCAGTTTAGAAACGCAATAAATAAAACAGGAGGTACGGGTGATGTCGATGCATAAAACGGCGATTACGCAATAGTTTGATTTATTGGTTTCGGCAAGGTGCACACACGGTCTAACGCTCTCGCCCTCACGAGGAAGCGTGATAGAATTTTGCGTCGGCAATTTCCTCATACATGTGAAAAACTACCCGAGAGGCCCGCGGTGATAAATGCGAGGGTATGAATAAATTTGCCCGTCCTTACGAAAATCTGAAGTGATTAGGTTGGACACCTAAGGCGAACAGGTGAACTTGACATTAACCGTATTTGCATCACCTGTTTTTATGTAATTGAAATTTAAATTATCATATGAATAACATTTATTAACACCGTAAATTTCATGTCGTATTGGAACGTTCTTATATTGTGATAATGGACAATGTTTTTGTGGTCGTATCAAGATTAATCTCACCTTCTCTTAGGTAGAATGGTATGCAGTTTGTGTCCCATCTATCAAAGCAAATTCAAACTGGAGCTAAATTACTGTAGTATCGTTAAATAAACTAGTACTCAATCACCACGACACTGGGATCAGACAATCCAGTTAAATCTGATGATTCCACAAATATATGATACCCTATAATCCTAAACATCGGCAAATAAATTCTTATTAGAATTATTGTAATTAAACCTAATTCTACGATAGTTTTAATTTAACGAGCGCCGAAGTTTATTTAAAATTATGCAGTGACTATGGTAGAAATTCTATTGCAAAAAGTAGACTTTTGCGTCTAATTTTGTGAAACTGCGTTCTCTATTGTGAAAATAAGGAAGAAAATAAAAGTAAACTTATTATTATAACATACAGGAGTAAAATTATATTTCATTTATTACCTACATATGATATTTGAAAAAATATATGACAATACTAGATTAAAGTAAGTATTATTAGTTTTGTTACATAAGTACAACAAAAACGTACCAATCTCAACCAAAATGTCACTTAATACAAGAAGACGGTTGAACTTCTTGAATGCTTAGTTGAATAGACACTTGGATTTAAAATACTAGCAACTGAAAGATTAATTGATGACTTATCCATAAAAACCACCTTTGAAATACTCAATCTTCTTGTAAATATTGTATTTTTATATCGATTAATTTTACAATTTGTATTAATAGTTATAGATTTCCCGGACTAGCATCAATTATATTACAAGAATAATGGACATTATTTCAGGTACGATATATACGACAACTGTTTTGCTCCTAAAAAATATGCTGTATTTGTATAAGAATTAGAATTTCAATGAAACATTATAGGTTTATTTATTCATTGAAGGTCATAATTGCAATGGCTGTTAATGGAAACATTGATGATTCTGAGATATATAATGGCATTTAAAACTTTGTGTCTATCTTATCTTCACAGTGGGTCTTTTTAAATCTTCTTTGAACTAATCAGTTGTTAAATAAAAATATTAAACTATCGCTCCTTTAATTTTTTCTAATAAACTGCAGACCTATTTATACGTTGTTTTTAACATTAATTACAATTATTTGGTGTTCTTTATCCTTGCACTTATAAAAGAAATGATGCCTATAAGATCTAAATCATAAAATGCTCTTCTGTTGACATGCCCAGTAAATCAATATCATGTTAGTACATAACTATGCATCGAACATGCTGCTACCGAAGTTACCAGGTATGCCATCTGTTGCACCGCTCTGGAAACTCGTCAGACTGTAGAAAACAGACTTCCTAAGTATTCTACCTTGCTACATGGGGTCGACCATAAACTATCGTATAGTTCATTGAAATTAAAGGCGGTGTCAGCATACAGAATGGATCTGCATAAATTCCCTTTAATCACGATTTTCGTATATGGTACTAGTTTTAATTTTTTTTTATCTCATTCTACGGGCGATGTCCTCGTCATTTGTAATAAACAGTCTCTTAATTAAACGCTGTGAAATCTGCAAACAGTTTTATTGACCCAATCATCTGCAACGCGATCCGATCTTATAAAGGTACCAAATCTGAAACATGTAGGTATACGTTTGATTGGACCCGTAGATTATTAGCCGCTATTTGTATTATCAATGTTTATGACCATTTTATGGGCACTGGCGGTTTTATTGCGGATTCAATTGCGGCATTTACCGATTTGATTAAGTAAAGGGATACTTATATTCTGTTTGTCATTGAATGATTCCTTTTATGCACTGTACGTGACCTAATTTTCCGTTTTTTCCGCGTAATCATAAGATTTTTATATATTGAAATTGCCACTGCAATAGTTTCCTTTCATTATCATGATTACGATTTAATTGCCTGTAGTGTTCCTGCTGTTGGAGTATGCTCCAATGACTTATGGGTCATCCCTAATTATAGAACCACGTATCGAGAACAGGTTATAACATCTCGTACGGTTCTGTTGATTGTAATTTTTACAGATTTCAAATGGAGGTTGGAACCAGCCATTTGAAGCCTATGCGTGCTGGATTCATCAAATCTTTGGTGACCCTTTTGGTAATAGGTATTTGTGAAAATTGCCCAAATAACGCAATTACTACTGTGTCATCAATCATTAAGTTAGTTAAATTTAGTTTCAGTTAATTATTCATTACGTTAAGTTAGTCCTCCTCGATAGGAAACATTGGTTCTTTGTATTCCTCAATAATTATCCATACCTACATTTTTTTCTTGACGGTTCTAAAAATATGTATCGTCCATGTGCCTTTTCAATTACCTTATTTCAAACAAATCCAAGTTTCATAAATTACTATGAAAAATATTTATTAATTAAAAACCTCCTTTTAATTAAAGTAATTTAGTAAACTGAGTAAGGAGAAGGATCGTAATTGAACCACTCCAAAAGTTTAAAAAAAGCAGTCCTTTTATTGCCTCTTAAGCATTGTTTAAGAGTTCAGAGGCAGAGGGAGAGACCCCTCTGAAGTAAATGACGATTTTTACCGACTCATTATCGACCTTTTCTTCATTTTGTTTGTACATTCTTCAAGATTGAACCGCTCGTTGGTTAACCTAATTCGTTTTTTCATTTGTTTTTCTGCTCGAATGTTTAATTAATTGGGTAATAGTCTATGCTTTCCCGTTCTGAGCAGCTTGAGCGACGATTTATTTATATAAAACGCCTAAACCGCTCAGTATTTTAATGGATTTTATATTCGTTATAGTGATAATGTCACAAAAGAAATAAAATTACTGCATTTTTTTATAACTAGTTAGTTTTAAATAAGTCGTGTAATGTACGTTGTGGATACTAATGCATGTGAAAATTGCTAATATTGCAATAGCATTGTGATGTTGAATCGTATTGATGTTATATACATTTTGGGAATTTTATACCAAATCCGAATTCACTAAATATGCATAAAGTTAAAATCTTATTATTATGTTATTGTAAAAACTTGTTTCTGATTGTTGTCCTGTAATCATATCATCTAAATTATATACTTTCGTATGCTCACTGCTTTCTGATTACGTAAAACGTTTTATATGGAATGAAAGTCTGAATTCGACATTAGCAAGTAAAAGGGTTTTATTCTCAGGTAATTCACTGATAAAATATTTTCTTCTATTAAAAATCACTAATCAGGTGCTAAAATAAAACGTACGCCATTGAAATAAAGATTTAATTACAATCGTTACATAATTTTACTCATAATAATAATTAATAGGTATATATTCTATAAATATCCATATAGAACATTTAATATTAAGAGAATGTTTTCGATTTGGTCACATTGAACATTTTTTTTTGTTTTCATCTGATGCGTTGTATGTAACATGTTTCGGTTTACGTATTCATTATGAGCCTCAAAACATTACAAAACAGATCTCTTGTGACTCCGCATATAGTACAGACTAAAAAATATATATATCATATATGTTAACAAACTTAGCTGTGATGGTTTCGTTAAATTACTTCATACGTATCTTATTATAAATCGATGTGTGAGATATCATTATCACATAGAGTTTTCAAAGTTTAGTTATTGAGAAACGATGCCTATTGAAAATTATTATATACAAATTTATGTGCCAGCTCCTGGATATTGTTTAATACGCGTCCAGATTATCTAGTACAAAATATGGCCTCGTATTAGTGCTATCTAGTTGTTTTATATAATTATTCAACCAACAGTATCTTCAATTACATATCTAATGCATAACCCACGTGACTAAGAAATCATAGTACAAATAAATATTCTATAGTTCATTTCTCAGTTACTTCTCAACAGCTTGCGACAGATATCGAAATAAAAATCATTCTGAATATATTTATATACATTGTATTCTAATAATACTTTAAACAATATTTATAATATTTAATTCGAAGTATTGGAACAACGTCGAATGTTGCAAAATAACATACTTATTTACTTTGTACACTTCCTCCGAGAAACTAAAAATAGAAAATCTATAAAACATTTTATATACAGTGACAACAACAATAACCAAATCGACGATAGCTTATCGTATATTTATTTAGTTTAAATTAAAATAAATTCATTGTTTTCCATAATTTATGAAACCAAAATAAAAACATACCGTCATCTCAATGTACAATTTCACTTAAACACTAATGAAAACTAAATGTGGCACCAGAAATAATTCATAACTTATTGCTCCAAAATGTTTAAACAAAGTTACAGTGGAAGAACTTAGAATGATTTTTATCATAATATTATTTTTTTTTACTTTGAAATATTCCGAACAATGAATTTTTATTTAATGTACAATATTTTTGCTAAAACCCGATGTAGGTTACATTTTCTTTTTAATGTATAATTGCGCTTTTCGTGTCTATAAATAATTTGGATATTACTCACGTAACATTCTTAAATCTATAAAAATACTGAGCAATATTGATTCCATACAATGATTTGTCGATGAATCACATCGAAAAAATTAAGTACTTCTTTCTTTACACTAACATTATTTAATCTGTGCATTTAAATTTACCTTTTAGAAATTATACTATGCGATATACAAATTAACGTATTTACCAAATCATTTAATTTTACATAGGGTCTGCAATATTGTAGTCGCTTAACCAGTCATAGTTCTATGCACCTACAATTTTCATCGCATCGTGGTTCATACAAATGAACTGAAACACTGTGCCACTGATTTTTGACAGTCCTTAGTGGTTGATGAGTGTGCAGCGACCCAGGTTTCACGTGCTTTACCTGAAACAAATAACCATAATAGCTATTATTAATTCCTCTTAAAAGTGAAATTAATACCAAAACAGTCTTTAGCCTTTAAATTAATCCAAATGTGTTCCAATTTTTATTTTTATTTTAATACAATAAATGCATCCTGTTAAAAGAATAGCGGTATTTAAATTAAGAAAAAAAGGAGGTCCCATTCCAATAGCTGTTTCGATTCTATCGCAGTGTCACCGGTGCGAGCCCGCCGCTGCGTTCACACATATAAACCGAAAAAGAAAAAATCAAACCAATCGAGATGAGGTGACGAAACGTTCAGTCTCATTATCTGGGAATTTATTAACGAATCGGCCGGACCGGAAAACCGAAATGTGAAAGAAATAAAAATTCGACCTCAGCCGCGGTCATCTAAAGTTTGTACGGCGTGAATGAAAAAAAAAGTCAAACAGGTTGTCCGGGCGAGTTGCGACTGAATGAAACAGAGAAGGACGCGAGCGAGGATCAAAAGATAAGAGGGAAGATTAGAGTGTCGGAAAAAAAAGTAAAGCGACTTTTATATGGAGGTAGTGTTGTGAATGAAGAGGACCCATTGAGACCCCGCGCCCACGCATCGGGCGGTTGGTGTTATCGTTCGGCCTAGGCGGCAGCCGCGCACACGGGTTCCTCACACCCATCACCACTCATAAACAATGCTCTTTGTAAATCCTTACTTTTTTGTACTTTAAACAATACCCTGACTACAATATTATTCAAATTTGAAGTCGTAAATAAGATTAAAATTAGGTGTGTATTGCTTTACCGCAGGACTTATAACGTTACAACTTCCGACCGAAAGATGAATAATGCAGCAGTGATAATGAATACGCCCCCGACTGTTGTGAGTAGTCCCGAATTAAGTATATTAATGGATCATTTCTCGATTTTGTTCTGATATCAGTTTGCAAAATAATAAGTTGAAACGATACTTTGAATTTTATTTGAGACAAAACAAAAACAGTTTGCCGAGCCCGTTCTTCCTGAGGCTACTTTAAAAGAATACCGCGATAAGAAGTTATTTTCGCGTCAAGGAATTCGAGGGACAAAAAGGCGTGAAAAAGAAAATAATATAAAAGGATTATAGAAGTGAATTTGTGAGCGTTAGACTAAAACAAAATTCTTCGCGATGCCGTTCTGTGCGGCGGTGTCGACTACGGATTTATTGTAATGAGACGTTGGATGCCGCGGTCCCTTCTTAGAAAATCTTTAAAATCTCTTAGAAAAATGCGACACTCTGGACCATTGGGAAACTACATAGATTCCATATTCACACGGTGCTATTTATGGGTCCCTGCTGCTAGATATTCGGACATCAAATTACTTTTTAAGCGTATTTACTATTTTATTTTTAGTTTAAGAGTAAACTAATAATAGAAATTCAAAGTTTTGAAAAACTAAAGCGCCCGATTTAGTTTATGATATTTCTAATTTCTTGTCTTGCAAGAACTAGTTATTTACGCGTAATAATGTTATGTTAACATGTTGATTTAGTGAAAAGAGCTAATTTGGGCAGGTCAGCGGCGTATGTAGGCGTGCGGTGGCGTCCGTGACACTGACAAATGACGCAAGATTGCAATCTCGCCGCCCTCGCGCCATCGCCCTTCCACCTCAGCTCGACGCGACTCCATTGTTTTCAATTACCAACATGACACCCCGACGCGAGACTCTGCTACTAAACCGCAACTCTGTTTATGGCTTTCTCGATATCTTTACTACAATCATCCATTTACGACCGCCTCTCATTTACATGTGCACTTCACATCGCGATTCTCAAGCTCGACAATTTGAAGCAATCAGTAACTCACCGCCGTTGGTGCGCGGTCCGCTTTCAGACGGCCGACACGTAACCGTTGGGGTGTTGGAGCGAGCTGGAATAGGAAACATTCACTCTTTTCACGTGATGTAGCGCTTGCTTGCTTTTCGTCTACGTTTTTATCTCATTTTGTGTGCATGTCTGATATGTGAACCCTATTGAAGGATAAATAAGTAAAATATATCGGTACAGTGTGATAATCACCTTTTATAGAACGGCTTGAAGGCCGCAGATCCTTCGTTGTGATGGGGTTGATTGGGTTGATGACTGTTGGCAGCATGATGGGGGTTGTGGTAGGGATCGCGTTGCGGCGACTGCTGGTGCCGCGGGAAGCAGTAGCCAGAGCCACCACCACTTCCTAGCGGGTTTGCGACACTCGGCACCTTCATGTTGGGCGGAGTTTGAGGAGGGGTATCTGTCTGCACATCAGGGAAAGCCGCTGGATGGACACATGGGTGTTGACCTCCATATTGACCGCCGGGAAATCCGCCGTAACGACCGTAAGAGCCACTGGCAGGGCTCGCCGCTGCTGTAGCTGGCAACGCAAAGCCATTAGAACCCGAGTCAGCGGCAGAAGCACGCTCTGGACCATACGAATGTTGTGGCCACGGCTGAGCCGCCGGCGGGGGAGTCTTGCACGCTGCCGTGTCTGCCAGCGACCATATCTTCGGTTTCGATGCGGGTATCGGTACGCCGCAATCAGATGTGCCACGTTTTGCCTCCTCCTTGATCCCGTATCCCAGCAGTTGGTGATGCATACCTTGCAGCATGTCATCTCCTTTCCGCTCCTCATCTGTAAAGAAACATACATTCATTGATCACATTTTATGTCCGAACAATATTACGAGGGCACGCGTGACACAAAAATCAGATTAGTCGCCATAGCCGATTCCGTAGCGAAAGTAACAACAATAAAAAGAGCTTAAAAACGATCAATAAGAGCCGGATTGAATGGTCGACGTGACCGTTACAGGACGTAAGTTTTAGCTCGTAAGAAGCGGAATCATCGGCTCCCTACAGAAAAGTCGTGTGAAAATACGTTTGGCGTGCAGTGACCCATTCGTTAAGTGGTTATCCGATTAGCGAAGTGAAAATACCACTTTGGGGCGCGACTCCCCTGCGGGCGCCGCCTCGATCCCTTTCGCATTTAAGCCGAGCATTTATTTCGCATTTCCCGGCGCTCCCCGCGGCACCGCACTCCTCCGCGGAATGTGCCCAGCGACACAATTAATGGTCAACCTCGCTTTTCGTCTTTTCTTCTATTTTGTTCACTTTACGCATTTTCCCGCTCTTCGTGTTAAAGAGAAACGCACGATTGCGATATAACCGTGCCTATCCACAAATCGTTGTGCTGTTAAAACGTAATTTGATTATGGCCGTTCTGCTTTTTATCCGTCGTTTTCCTCGATGATGAAAAAAATTATTATTGTACAATTACACAAAAATGTTTATTCAGTGAAATTTTATAAGGCTCTAAGTATTATCATAATGCCGTTTTCTGTTGTAAAGTGGGTTTCGGGTGGCGGGCGGGTAGGCGACTAATGAAATTCAGAGGCCGCGAGCGGGAGGGGCACGACCGCTCGACTTCATTCTCTTTATTCCATTTAATGCTGACTGCTCTAGCTTTTAAGAGGGGTTATCCGTGTTGCCCTCCTCTAAGGATAAATAGGGACGCCAGTGATACTCCGAGCCAAGATATTTATCCGGCAAATTGTTTTAATTTTCATTGTATTAATCTAATAAAGGCCCACAACGGCGGGAGATAAGCGTGAATTGGATGATTCCATAATGTTTTATTTTGGCAACGTGTTTAATATGTACAATGGGCTAATTTTACAAATTGATTGGTAATAATTTTATTTTCGTGATTACTATCAAACTGTGATTTTGTTGATGTTTTAAGAGTTTTTAGTTAATGTTACAAATTACAAATTATGTAAGATATAGAGTCAAGTGCTTTGTTTGATGAAGATTTTTACGTTTTATTTTTATTTGGACATTAATTAATTCAGGGTTTATTTCTATCTTGTATGGTTTTAATTTCATTTATACCTTAAATATGTAGGTATATTAGTAAAACATATTGATTATTTCTCTTGCATGTTTATATTTGTTAACATATATTTTTGTTTTTATGGTACTTTTATGAAGCAAAATGGCAGACAAACGACGAGCGGAACGAGCGTGGAAATAAGACGGAGCCGAAACACTTGATACCTCGGTTTTCCCCTTTAGTCACAGAGCCAGGGGCGACGTGGGACATAATAAAAACGCGCATCGGACTTAGAGGGCGCCACTGAGCCGCTGCTCTCCGACGCCCCCGACTGCGCGTTCTCGAATGCATCCACTGCACTTTACAACTGGCCTCGCTGCAATTTATTACATCTTGCGCGGAGAGCGTACGTCCGTAAGCCCCGATAGCTCACTTGTTTGTATTAACTTCCACTCGTTTTCCATTAGCGCGCGTCGGATTAATATTTTGTTTGCGATGCGTGTGCTCACGACAAAAATTAACATTTATTGGCTGGGGGGTCACAAAATGAAGCTTTTATTCATGAGTGGCTTAGCGCGGGATAGTTCTCTCTGTGTTTGTTTTGCCGTCGACATTCTAGGGATCGCGTGTGAGAACTGCTATATTGGTTTTATTTGGCCGTGACTTATAATGATATATTACGTGTAACGATCATTGACATTTTCGTAAAAGAATGGTTTAATACGAGTCGATTGAGAACGTTATGGTTTGTTTGAACACGATCGTTGGGTGAGATTATGACGCTAGATTAGTTCATATCACGTTGTGATATCAGATTCGTAAAGTAACATTGATTTTATTATTTTGGATAAAATTATAATAATATACCAGGGTAGATGACCCGGTTTTGACCATTTTAAGGTTACCTGTGATCTGATATTGGCCATTTTAAGAGGTACGAGGAAGCGAACTTTGAAAAGCGTACAAGTTAAAGCTTTAGTTAGAGAGTGCCAAATAGACAAAATAGGAGCAGCGGCTTATGGCCATTGGTATTTAAATTGTTTTTTTTTATTCTAAATTAAAAAATCCTTTCATTAATGATATCGAAATATTGATGCTATCGCAAACCTTTGCATAAACATATTAATAGTTTTAATTTTAATTTTCTCTATTTTCAATTTGTTTTCTGGTTTGAAATTTATGTAGAAAACTGATAAGGTTTATATAATGATAAGCATGCCTGCGAATTTTTACACCTTCGAAAGTGCACGCGGATGCGCTAACCTGCACTTGTTCTGCTATTTCTGTCTGTATGTTAATCAATCAATTGTCGATCTTGCTTCAAATCCTACAAAGACGATAACGCTTTAGTAATGAAAATGTTTTGCGCGTGTGCCGGCTTCACTGCCCTATAAACGAGTCTTATACGAGTAATTAAAAAAAAAAAAAACAATGAAATTGATGTTCAAAAGTACTAGGACATTTAGGAAAACTTTGAATACCCCCAAAGTAAATGAACTAGTTTTTTTTTTAAAAAAGTAAATCTAATTTTGATAATTATTTTCCTTAAATTAGACATTATTTTGCAATATATAAGACTAATCGTTTAACTGGAGTTAAATAATATCAAACTTTACGGATTCCCTAAATAAAACCGAGTTATTAAGAGGTCCAAATGGGTTTCAACATTTTAGTGAGGAAGCATAGTTAATTCTCTTAAGTTCTAAAAACGCTCATATTATAATAAAGAAGATATCACTGTTCTGTTTCTAATGTATAATTTTATAGAAATGCGTAAGGAACCACTTAAATGCACGCACCCCTTGCAAGTAAAGCCGCGGGGCGCATAATCCCTAATACGGTATGGGGAAAACTTGGCTTTTTTCTCACTCAGTAGGGATAGTGAGAAAAAAGATATAGTGTTTGCTAGAAGTGCAATCCGAAATTAATTAAAATTTACCGTTTAATTTTTTTTATCATTTATATGATTTTCGTTAAATATAAATAAAACGATCAAGACTGTTTATTAAAGATATCATGGTTTGTATATCCTATTTTTTTTATGATATTAATATTTATTTATTATAACTTATTTTTTATTTGAATAATTATAATGGTATTGATGCATTTTGCAATTACTATGTTGGTACTCGTACTTAAAATAATATATTCACCCATAAAGGCTGCATTGTATTTTTTACAAAAAAAATATGTATTATTTAAAGATATGTATTCTCTTGTTGTAATGAGCAATTTTCAATACACATCTGGACACTTATTCCATTGTCGCCATTTTACGACCCCTTAAGTGCTGTTCCCGGCGTGCGCAACGGCATTCACGCCGCGAATTAAGTGTACTTCTGTCCTAACAATAGTCAGCTTCATTAGCTGACGTATGCCGGGCGGTAGCCGTGACGCCCTCGAGCCGCGGTTCCATTAGCACCGTGAAGTTTGCAATGAAAACAGTCCTACTTCACACCATCTTTATTGTAACAAAGACCACTTATAATTTATGTCGTTGACAACCGCGACTAACAGCTACCCTTGTTGTTATTGCTTTCCTACGATCTCACGTTCCGCTTCTGCATTTTATTATCGTACATACCTACATCATACAACATTACGATTAGTTGAAACAGTACTGAAAATGTTTAAACGACAAAGGCCACGGCCGAAAAAGGATCCACATTCAATTGGAACACATTATAAATCCCCAAAACCGTACTTACTTACGTTCCGGCGGAATATCCTCATAAAAGAAACGATCCACGAACTCGACAAATCCTTTGGCAAGAACATGAAGTAGGGCAGATCGTCTGACAAGCCGAACGCGACCTCCGAGCGTCGCCTTGTTGTACCCGACGAACGGAAGAAGCGTTATATGAAATTTGGGCCCTGGCGCCGCCCACTACTACGAATAGGAAATCCGGAGCGAGGAGCGGTTACGCACAGTTACACGCCTGAGACCCGGCCCCCCTCCCCCCGCCGCATGCCCCTCCCGGCCCCTCTCACCTCCTCTTCGCATCCCGCACACCCTCCGGCCCTCAGCAGCGTTATGCCAATTCACTCGGCGATTTATACACCGACAAAATTAAAGCAATTTTAAACGTTTAACAACATTGCCGCTATCGAGACATGAACAAGCGAATGGTTCTCGTGAGGTATTAGGAAAACATAAAGGTGAAAAAGTCTTTCGCTGACGCAGTCATCGAATATACAGTATTACACGAAATGTGAAATGTCATTCGCATGGCAAGCACGGTTTAGTACACAATCACAAGTAGGTATAAGATGATCTGGTGTTAATCTTATGTTTCCAACATTTAAATGTCAACAACAATACATTTTTCAATGAAATAAACGTATAAATTTATTGCGTTGACAAGTAAAGGTTGTACAAAGCCTCGAAAAGACCTTTTTAGAATATAAACAACATAAAATTTCTTACGTTATGTTTTACCTTTAAAATAAAAGTTGCTTGTAAACTTAAGGTCTAACCGAGGCTTCGGGGTAAAAATTAACGAACCTTTATGAGTCTTAATTTTTTCATCTTGTTCATCCTTATCCTTTTCTTCGTCAGAAAGCATCGTGTCGTCATCATCGTCGGTCTTATTCTTCGGCTCCCAGGTCATCTTGTTCTCCTTTTTGAGGCGACGGCGGGCATTAGCAAACCATGTAGACACTTGAGTTAGCGTCATCTTGGTGATGATTGCAAGCATTATTTTCTCGCCTTTTGTTGGATATGGGTTCTTCTTATGCTCGTTGAGCCAGGCTTTTAGCGTCGCAGTAGATTCCCTGGTAGCATTCTTCCTCCGTGCAGCTAAATCGTATCCAGCTCCATATCTGTCGACAAACATGTTTATACTTACATATACCTAAAGGGTTATTTCCGCCTCCGGCCTTACATTATAAACTTCGCATTTGCTTATGTTGGTGGTGTGATTTGAGCTACATCTTAATTTATAATATTATAGAAGAGAGCAATTGCTTTTACATTGTCTGCATGTGTAAAAAAAATCTGATCCTTAAATTTTTGATGATAAATCAACAAACTATTAGCATCACATTGGCATAATACTATATGTCAAGTTTGTATTAAAGTCGAAGATTGTTGTAAACAAAAAAAGAGTTATTGTTTTATTGGTTACAATTCATGAGTCGCGCGTTGGGTCGTTTACAGCGAACAATAAACTGGCTTTTAAATTCGTGGCAGATAGGCGTTTTATTTGAGGCAATAGATTTCTCGTAACGACTGCAAAAATAAAGCTAGCACGGCATTGGAGCGGCACACGATATACTTTTTAGGGCCCACGTTCCCATTTGCATCCGCATTCTAAACGTAATTGTGGCGAACCGATTCCCCTTGCCAGCGTTCGTACCTGACTTCGATTTTCTCGCCGACATGACAAAGGCGCGGTCTGAGGGGCCCAATAAATAGATTCCGCGCGTGAAAATAGTTAAAAAATAGTCCCCGGGCGGGAAATGCTCCTTCAAAACGTGACGTTATGTGTGTGCTCTTTAAAGTTTAGTATCGTGAAAACGCTGACATTCTCACAGATTTCATTCATGACTTGAATGTAATTTGCAAAAGTGGTATTTGAGGTGCTTTTATTGTTTCATGAGATGACGATATATTTTTTCTTTTTATCTTGTTCGGCTTACGTTGTTCTTTCTTAACTGGCATAAAAGAAAATTTCTAAATTTTATAAATCTACGAAACGTTTAATGGAAATAATGATTTTTTTAAATATTATTAAAGGTCTCATCTAGACCTGAAATTTTAGCTTTTGTGACACTAGAGGGCGGTTCGTTGCATCTCAATGCAATTGCAGGGCGGTGCAGCGCAGGCGTGGGCGTGCTCAGCAATCGATTGAGTCGCCATCTTGCGCAGCGACAACCACAGGTAAGTACAGTCAGTACCCAAATAGTAGTCGCTGTGCACGTTGATTTCTATATAGAAATATAGAAATTTCAATAAATGTTTGCACCGACCTATTGACTATACGCTTCCCACACATAAATAGCCATCTATGAAACTTGAAAGCATATCGAAAACCGTATTAATACTCATGTCAACGCAAATACACCGTCTCCGTAACCAAACATTAGTTGGAACACGAATAAGCTCTTCGGAAATCTGCGGCGGTTAGTGACGACAGCGGTCGAGATTAAGAAAATCAAGCGCTCGAACATAGAAATCTTGTACGGAATTATGCCGTACTCTTAGCGCTGAAGCTGCTGTGTGGGGCGTTCCGCTTAAAGCTCACTAATTAATTTAGACAGTCCACTTACTCGTCGCGCCCGCCCTATGAGAACACATGCACTTGGTTTGGAGAATGTTCTTACATTTATGGACGGAAACGCTTTGTATCGTTGTTAATTTGAGGACGAAAGTTTAATACCGACGTCTTAAATTTATGCTTTATAGTATGTGAAGCCAACAAATGGCAGGTTTAATACGACCTGACGTTTCCTGTATTTTAGATATTTATTTCAACTCTCTATAAAACTTTAAAGTATTAGTTTAGAATAAATTACTTTCATGAAGCGATATAATCATAAGAACTCCTTTATTATTGCATGCTGATTAATTGTTAAATTAAGTGTGTTTAATATTCTCAGTTATAGAGATTCTATTTTATTAAGAAACCGACACAGATAACTTGAATGCGGTTGTGCGAATACAAGCAGAGCTAATATTTGAGCGAGTATTCAATTCAGTGGTATCGTAGGTTTACGATCTGCCCGCTTGGGGGAATTGTGGGCTACGTGCCCTCCCGTACCTTCTATATACGAATACATAAGCATCAAACCTCCCCCCCTCCCACAAGAGGAGCTTGTGTTAGAATTAGGATTCGTATCAGTTACAATAGATGTTTTATGTTCGATTGTTCACTTTAGCCTATGTAAAATTTTATCCTGTCGAATGTAAAAGGACAATGAAATATTATATTTAAAAAAAAACATAATAATAAGTAAGTACGTACGTGAGGATTGATCAATTGGTCAATGATTTGCATTAGTCTGTTTATTTATTTCTCGATTCTAATTCATATGTACTTATTCTAAATATAATAATAGGGTATTATAAATCTGTAATAGTGGAAAATTGTGATTATGGGACTTTATTTCAACGTCATGAAGGTCTATTTTTACAAATATCACGTACCTATATAAGTCAAAATGATTATTAAAATTATTCTTACGATAAATATCATTATAATCTTTTTCATGTTTCATTTCGTTTCGGTAACATCACTCAAATGCGTTGTTCTTTGAACAATGTTTCTATTTATCTTCACGGTAGATTCAAAGATCAACATCTACAAATGCTATCGTGTTATCATGAAATCCACTATCTACTTCCTTACATTGATACAAGCGTTGATTTATACCGACAAACACTTGTATACAAGCTTGTCTTCTAATTAAATTACCTACGCTATTACAACACTTAGTGACATTACGAATTATGTAGACAATTTGTTTTACACAAGCATAAATACTGTTTGCGACTGCTTACTAAAATTTGTTATGACTAAACGAAATGTTTACTAAATACTGTTTATCATAAAGATTTAAATATTACAAAAGGCGTTATGTGTCTTCATAAACATGGACAGACGACACGGCGTCTCGCTAACAAGCATTTTCTTATACGGTTTATTTAAAAACCAACAGCCCAAATCACTGACGGATTCCTTTAGTATCACAGGCGCGGAGTGCAGTAATTTCGTGCGTATTTTGATCTCAATGGTGCGGCACAAGTGCTCCCTCGACTCTTTCTCTAATTTTTGTACGTTTTCGGTACGCTTCACTCTCGTGTTAAATATAGCCGAGTAATTTTTCATTTCGGCGCTCGGCGGGCGTGGCACATTACAGGCTGTTCCAAATAAGAAGCTCTCAACTGAAGTGAACCTACGGACTCGGCCAACTTTTGTTGTTTCTATACACTTTTCACCGCATTCGTTCCTTTCGTTGTCCACTTAGTTGGAGCCAAGTTATTACAGTACGTTTTATGATGGCGCCTTATAAAGTTTTTCCTTTCGCAATGAATGTACAGGAATTTATTGTTGGCGATCGTCGACTGTATGCCGGGTGAATTAATGCCGTTCCCTGTTCTCGCTAGGCTGCCGTTATGGAGTAAGTGAGCCTTTTTTTTATGTCACTTCGTAACGTGTTGTTTATAGTGTCGCGTGTTTTGTTTGCGCTTTTGAATAAAATCATCCTATGTGTAAGATAGAAAACAATTGTGTGCGGGGATTGGAGGCGATATATCACAGTGTATTTCCGTGCTCGTCCCCGACGCTCGACAATATCACTACGTCTTTTTTACGTATAAAAACTAATGTCGCATCTAATTATTTTTAGGTTACAACGAACCGCCCGCTATATTTTAAGCGCAGCCGAATTGTCAGCATAACTTCGCTTTGATGTATAATGATTTGTTTTTATTCTTCAGGCAGTTTCAGTGTGATTCATGGACGGATAAATTTCAAATGCGTCTTGAAACGTATATTTAATTGATACGTTCGTATAATGGATCATTATTATTGTGACATATTATTTTTGATCATATTTATTGTCAAACCACTATTTCTGATTAGGAATTTCTATCGAATCCTAACCAAAATGATCATGTTAACTGAATAACCAAATATCTCTTTGGTTTCGTGCTATTGAAAATAATAAAAATCAAATATTTTGTTTGTTAATGATTCATTTCTTCAAATTGTATTGTGATCAATTCTTATTTAAAAATAAGGGCTATTGTAAAACAATATTTAAATGGATATGAAGTTTCATTGCTATAAAATGACACTAGAAGTCAAAACGAATGAATCCATGACGTTCCACTTTAAAAAAAAAAAACACAAAATAAACAAGGATGATTTACACGAGCCGATGATGGCGACCAGTCTGGCGGGTTAGAAAGAAAACTTTGCCCAAAATGTCAACATGTCAAGCGATCGCATTTCAAAAGAAAAACCGTGAATTAATCAGGTACTAGCGCGAAATGGATGTGCCAACATTCGTCTCTGTCACACACTTTAGATTTTACGTGCACGTAAAGGACAGCATTACCGGCCGGGAGTGGTTACCCGGTCATTTGTCCCTGGCGGACGACACGCATCACGGCTCGCTAGGTGTGCCTTTATCAAGCAAGCTGCAATGAACTATCCATACGAAACGCTATCAGTACGACGCTTATCTACTTATATTACGCCATTTTATAGTAGTTTTTTTTTTAATTACGTATAAAGAAATTTCTATTTTTAGGTTATTTTAAAGGTTACTCGTTCACCTTTTCTGTCATTATCAAGACTAACGTATTGACTGTCTTTTTTTAAATTACAGATTAAGAAAACTGTTTAATGCGAACGTTCTTAAAATCGAAAAGTAGTTTTTAAAAGTTTATATTTATTACTAGTTTCTTCGATGTAGTTTGTAAGAAATTGTTTAAATATGTAGTGGTCTGCGATTAATGTGGGTATTCTCAACTACCGCGACATCCCAATTTCTTCTGATTAAAAAAAAAGTGTTAGATAGAGATGTAGATTAATTATACAAAGGTGTTTCTGACTATGAGAAGCTCGTTCAAGTGTAATCATTAAATGAAATATGCGGTTGACTGACGGCCCTAAATGCACATATCGTATTACACTTTTGAACGTCCGCCGGCCGGCCCGATATAAGATGAATAGTTAACAAGCTAATAATGACAGATGATTTGGCGATGAATGCTTTCGAAATTTAATATAAACGGTCTAATAATCAGGCGTACATGTTGAAGTCCTATTATGGGAGATATATATTTATATATATATTACGAAAATTTCATCGAGACGTGTTTAAAATTTAATATTTTATTCATCGCCATAGATTTCGATTATATATAATTATCAGGGATAATATTTAATTAATGTTACATATTTTTTTATTGATCGCGAGAATTTTAAATATGATCATAAAGAAAAAAACTCGACAGAAAAAGTGGCCAGTACATATGTATCAGCCGTCTAAAAAAATGTAGCTCAATTCACTACGCAACACACCCGCAAACGAAAAGGGATACACATTTGCACAAACATAAAATTTATTAAAGTCAAAGCGAGTCGCCAAATACAAACATGAGCCTTTCGCATTGCAATCTATTAGAGAGATAAGTTTCGATAGGGAGGTATTATGTTAATCCTTGCGTGGCATGGGCTTTATCTAAAGTGGCGCGGGCGTTTTGGACCTGTGGGGCTTCTAGGACCCTGGGGACTTACCCGTAGGCGGCGAGTGTTGGGTCGTAGGGGTAGTAGCCACCGGAGGGTTGGAGACCGGCTGACGTCCACGCAGACATCTCACCACCACCCTCTTTCAGCGCGTAAGGGTTACTCTGAAACATCGCATCATTCATTGAATAAACAAAATCAGTGTAGTTACCATTTCAGATACGTACTAATTTAAGTTGAAAACATTGATAAAACAAAAAAGGTTTTATTTTAAACAAACAATTAGATATTTATAGCGATTAAAGAGTTTTCCATCTTATTATAAAACCAATACTAAAATTAGTACTTCGTTTAAACCACTGATCGCCTAAAGCAAATGACGGAAAAGGCAATGTGAAATTTAAACGTGTCGAATTATTTTCGTCGGTTAGTGGTTAATACTGGTACGAAGTTAGTTCTCTTTTTATAATAAGACGGATTAATTTTTTAATTTTGAAAAAATAATAAATTTGTATTAACTAGCATACTATAACTACAAAGCTACAGCTACTAAAAAGTTTTGATATTACACTACCGTTAATAAGCTAAAATCAAATTATGTGTGTTCGATTTCAAGAGCAGATATTCAAATGTCCTCATCAAACGATTCAATAACAATTGCCATTAAATAAACAGTTTTTTATGACATATCAAATTCAAATATTCACAAAATAGATTAAGACATCTTCAAAACACTGTATCATCTTAAAACACCATTAGCTTCACTAAAACCAGTACTCGGCATTTAAGCTCATGTGTAATCAGATAAATCTCGTCGACTAATACCTTTCAGTCAATCGGCCTTACAAATGCGCCGAGCTCCAATTTAATTAAAGCTAACTCAATAAAAGGGAATCGCGTTACATATAAAAGTACCGAGCGAGGTTGACATATCACTAGCATATTTGCATAATATAAAGAGGGTGGAACTATTAAGACCGCTCGCCCTCGCTTGATAGTTGTTTAACACTGAGATAGTGAGTTTCGAAGGGAGTGTAAGTGAGCAACACACTTCGCAGTTATTCGCATACATTAGGAGCAACTAAATTAAAAGTGTGAATGATTCCCGCCGTGGGATTCGGTCCCCCGTTTTTCATCCCCTACGACTTACTTGTTATGATACATATGGGTCTTAAGATGTGGATGATGTTGCTGTATAGATGCCCGTTTATTTGTTCCCCTTTGTTTTTTAAGAAAATTTGATATAGGTTCGTTTTAATAATATTACACGATAGATTTAACAATTTGATTTTAATTAATTTTTCTTGGGAATTGAGGTACTTAATGTCTCTATAAATTTTTCACTTTAAAATGTGTATAATTCTTAAGTAACTATGCTTACTACGTGTAGCCCTAAAAACAACATCCAGACATCATTCTTATTTTTGTTGCTTAAGTAAATTTTATAGATAAGCTCGTTCGGTTTGCGATACCGTTGTTAAGCAATTTTTGCAAGGCGAGCCTTAGGATTGGTGTAAAAAATTTTATTGGATATTTATCGGAATGCATGTTAAACCGTTGGTCCCGATTGCATCAGCAGCCGTTAACACCCACCGTAGATTATATTTATAGGCTGGTGATGATGTTGATATATAGTGAAATATCAAAGTGACGCTATTGTTTGAGATCGTGCTAGTATTCTGGGCAAAGACTGAAGATCCCCGTTTTGCTCCCTGAGCAAAGGAATCGTTGAGCTTTTACCCTTATGCATTGCTGTGGCGCACATATGCATTCCTAACGTGAAAGCGGATTTTTTTTATTGTAAAGAATTGATAGTGCATGCTTGCTGATTTTAAAAATAAATGAATTATTTATCTATATAAATATTGTCAGTTACGATATTAAAAACAGAATAGAGGTTCAATCCAATTAAACCTACTTAAGAAGGTAGTAAAATGGTGGTCTTAATCAATATCATTTAATTAAAATTGGTTGTGAATAAAAAAGACAAGGTATTTATTTACGATTTTTTTTTTACTGTTCTATTTCACTCAATATTTGTACGTCTCCTTTTTAATCGACTTCAATTACGCCCGAAAAGGGCTTTATAATGATATTTATCTTTTTATGTATGGTTATCTTCTCTATATCTTAGAAGAGCGTGTAATCCAAAATGCACTAATATTTATTCGGTTTTGTAAAAAGAAATAAACTCAAGTTGTTATTCAATTTGAGAAATCCACATAATATTTCTAAGAGTTTTACTAAAGTCAAAAAGAATGAATAAAAGATTCGAGGTAGAAAATAAAAATCACAAAGATATGTACTGTTTTATTGTTAAAATTGATAAACAAGTAAGTAATTTTTTAAGGAAAACTTTTAAAATAATCGTAATGGTTATCGAGTAGGGTAGGTGTACCAGTAGTAAACCGATTTAGTATTATTTTGAAAATAATTCCAATAATGACACAACTATTGTAATCATATAATAATGAAACATATTCACATTTTACTAATTTTCATTAAGTTTATTTTTATTAAAAAAGTGTTGCAATATACCTAAGGTAGATTAAGCTGTAAATGGCATGTAGCTATGATCATGTGGTTAGTAGAAAGCGAAAATAATTGTCGCAAAGTGCAAAAAATACTTAATATTTTAAAATCCGTATTTGACGCGCTATCCCCTTACTCTGTCCTTTTCCCTGTATTTCTCTTTTATCTAGGCTTACCACCTAGACCCGAAACAAATATTTGTCCCGTCAAAAGTACTCTCTGCGTACGAATTAGAGTCGACAATATTTGCATCTGCGAGGTCACGCCACGCCAGGGTCAACACCACAAAGAATAAATGATCAATCATTCCGTTAAATTAAATATGCGTGTTCTAACTGAAGAAAGAAAAAACTGATTATTATTTTGATTCTGTTTGCGTTCACGCATTTTTACCTCGTTTGTTAAAATATATATAGGTATTAGGCGTGCACTCAATTAATGTAAATACCTCTTGAATTGAAAAAACGCCATTACAAATGAGTCAACTGAGAATTTTCTAGTTTACGTAGTCTTAAAATTTAGTGAATATTTTTACATAGACACACGGTTGCATGTCAGATAACCAAAATATTCTGCAATGGATTTTGCCCTAGCCTCAATGTATTAAAGTTTAAAATCTATGTATGTATATATATATGTATTAAAGTATTAAAGTTTAAAATCTAATGCTGTTGACTGTGATTGTATTAATCGTAATAATATTTCAATAATACAAGTATAAAAATAATATTTTTCTTATCATATAGTTCTTAGCTTCAAAACTTGTATTACTCGCTTTTAGGTTTAGGTTAGTATTATAGATAAAAAATTATATTATTATAAATTTTTATCACAATATTTCAAGTTAATTATCATTGCTGATCGTCAAATTTTATTAATGGTGCCAAATATGTCGCACCACTCTCTAAAGCACATAAATCAGACTAAAAAGACTTTATTTAATTTTGGTTTGTTTAAATAATATCCCAAAGTCGTATGTAATCTAAGAAATGTAATTATAGTACTGTATACTGTAATAATATTATTAAGAAGTAACCCACTTCTATATTTTTAGTTACATATTTTTACAGTTGATAACGCAGTTTGACAAGTCTAAAACTGAAATATAGTCTAGTTTTTGCGACAGTATTGTTAACATTGTGACATTACAATTAACATGTAAAATTTTATAAAGCAAAAGAATCGTCTTTTTTAAATTAAAAATAAGATTTTACGATGTCTTAAAATTACCTTTGAATACACATTGTACATTTTTATACGAAGTCATAACTTCTTTCCTACCTCGTTTCAATTCAAAAATAGACAATCGTTACAGAGCATCATTAGTTATAAAAAAATAAAGATAAAAAATTAACAATGTAAAGTTTCACATTAGAACAGCAAAAAGGTTTTCTATGAAAATAGCTTAATTAATGTTATGTTGTTGTGTGTAAACTAGGCAAGTGGCGGTCTATGCGTTTCATTGAACAAACAAATTGTGTAGTTATTCTGCTGGTACGGACAGCATACAAACGCGTGTAATGCACCTAAATGGTGAAATAAAACACTTAACTACATTCTAATTAAATAAGCCATGGATAATCGATAATAATGAAGAGCACATAGCCTTAACCAGGTTTAGTTAACTATTCAGGGTTATTTGTTTAGGGTAATTTATTACGCAACTGATACCAATTGTAAGAAACAACATTGTTTTTAAGATTTGTACGAGTACTTTAATTTATTCTAATTTAAAAACAGTTGGGTTTTCTTAGCGTGCCAATACAGTGTCAGTGTTTTAGTTCTATGGAGTAGTGGATAAGCGCTATGGCCCGCGAACTTTCGCAAGGTTCGGTCACGAGATGAGTGGCCAAAAAAATACTGTCTCGAGTTACTCCGTGTTTCAGAAGACGTATTAAGCCGTTGGTCCTGGCTGCATTGGCAGTCGCTAATACCCTCCAATCTACATTGGATCACCGTGCAGGGTCATGACCCTGCCTTCATGGGCCTGCCATGGCCATGCCTGCATGGGCCATTGCCCATCCTCCTTAACCATTCATAAGGAAGGTCTGAGCTCCTGAAGTGAGGACGTAAAAGGGCTGATGATGGTGATTACAGGTTCAGGCGAAACATCTGTGCGATTATTCGAGCTTTAGCAAGGCACCGCAAATTAAACTGTCACTTCACATTAAAAGACGCTGACATTTGTAGATTTTATAAAGAAGAGCAAAATTTATATTAATGTGTATGTTTGGCATATGAACAAAGCTCACTTAAAGGACATAACATAATCAATCTAGAAGAAATAAAATCACGTAAAGCCGCGAAAATTTAAGACTTTCTATATACTATATACTACCCATAACCTTCTAAACATATATACAATGTAAATATGAGTGACTGACTCACTGATCTGTTAAAGCAGAGCTTAAGTTACTCAACTTTGATTTGACTCAACTTCGATGGCGTAGCTCTCGACTTTCACAAGTGCTTGTAACAGCCTAGACTAAATAAATAATTTTGATTTTTAATTTTCAACTGATCAAGTTGAAATCAGGTATACTAAAAAAGTACATTTTCAAAATTCAAACCTGGAAGAGTTTGAAAGTGTTAAAAATTCACTTGGGCGAAGTCGAATAGTTAGTCCATAATA